TTTGGCAACAGTAGATGATTATAGTGGTTTAAAATGTTTGGAAAACTACAGACTCAACAAAAGATGTTTCTTTGTGTTGAGACTTGAGGAATATCTGGGGAACAGGAATAAAGCATATCTATATGCAGATCTAGCCATGAGCATGCCCCACTGGTTTTAAAAGTGTGAATATCATTTTCATGCTGACTGTCCAAGATAATAGCCATCTCCTCAGATACAAATACTAATGTAATTCTGCTGAAAAGAAAATAATCATTATTATGTTTGCAGATAATGCCCTAATTCCGAATTTGAAGTATCAAACTTCAAAATAAAGCCAAGAGAAAAACTTCAGAAAATAGCCGTAAATCCCTACTGGTCCTACTTTGCAAGTGACATCAAACTTGAGGCAGGCTTTTGTGAAAGATGCAACCTTCTCTTCACAGGTGTTGTTGTTACAAACTTACTTAATCGAATATTTCGGGCTCCTAAAAATCTCTTTTATCTAGCACACTGACAGGCTGTAATCTGTTAAATGTTTGCTAACTCAAAATAGATTAAATTCTACTGTACTATAAACAAAACAATAAAAGGCAGTCCTACTCAAAATCATAGGAAATAGACTGAAATTAGATGATGAATCTTAAAACTGGAGGCAAACTCATGAGGCTGCAATAACTCAACCAAATGCAGAGCAAAATGTGCACCTTGGAGAGTTACAAGCTACCCTAATTGTCAAAGTATAAGTAATGTTTTTACTGCTTTATTTTACACCTGAAGCAGTTGTAACAACGGAGCAGCCAAACAGTTAACAACCAGGACATTTTACTGAGCTCTGTTTTTCTGTTGCTTCTCAGAATCCTAGTGACATACTAAGCAAAATTAACCCCTACGCACACACAAAGAAAAAGAAACCTTAAACCAAGGAGACAGGCAGGGAAGCAATCACAGCCAGGGATTCTCCTCTGCACGATGATCTTGCACAGACAGCAAACTCTTCTTTCTGTTAGAATGGTGTATTTGTCCTAGCAAGTAAGTTCATAAACCCATTAAAGCTGGTCTTTTCTGTATAAATATTCCATAGGCAAATCCATGCTCTCATTTTCAAAACCTCAGTATTCAGACCGCAGGAATCCTAGCTTTATTAACAGCTTTGTATTGATTAAAGAAATCACTAGCTAATTGCAGTAAACCCCTTGCCTTAAAATGGCGACTGCACCTCTGCACCGTCTGGTAATCTGCCTAGAGCTTCTGCTTACTCTTTTTGCAACTCCACATGCAACTCCACATGCCTATCTAAACTGTGTAAAAGGAACCAGAGCATATAGAAGAGCCCTGCATTTAATCCTTACTGACCACAACATCACAAGGAACAACAAGCAGAGCTAGAGGAACTGGATGCTGAGCCAGCAGAGTTTGAAGGCAGAATACACATGGCAAGTTCTGGAGGTACAGCTTTGGCCACTAACATAAGAATTTATGACAGCCAGTTACTCGCACATTTCACTGTGGTATTAACGCTAACTCGCAGGTGCTTCATTTTAACAGTTACCTAAATCCTGGCCCTGGGGCCAACCTGAAATAATTTGCTTTAAATGTTTCAGTCTTGGAATTCATTTAGAGAAGAATATGGCAATTTTCCTGTAAATGAAGAACACGTTCAAGTCATCTTTAGTTATTTTGTCTTCTTACCAGAGTTAGAGGATACAGTTGCCATCTTCTGCTACCTCAAATGTACATATGTCCCTGCTTTCCAAGTAGGTTTCATTTAGGCTTACCAGAAATTGTAACAGTGCTATATGAGTGGACATCAGGCAGGAGCTTAGATGAGAAACGTACTCAGGCTCAAGGGGATCATTATTCCCCTGTCAAGCAGAGACCAACTGTGAAACTCCAACTAGAGCAATTACTTAAAACAAAACAAAACATTAAAATAACTATTACTAAATGTACTGACTTATTAAATTTACTAGCAGATACTGTATATATTATCACCTTCTAAATTGTCTGAAGTTTAGAAATTAGCTGAGCCCTGAAAAATGTCCTCCCCTATGGACCGCAACTGTGATATGCTCTCACCTCAAAGAGATAAAATATGTTCACAGAAAAAAAAAAAATCTCAAATATAAACTTGAGAAGGCTCCAGTTATTTGCTTCAAATTAAAGAACAAGGGGTCAAAACCAAACAGTATTAGCTGGCTTAATTTAAAAAAAAAAAAAAAAAAGGAAAAAGATAAAAGAGCCTCATGGAAAGAAATTTTCATACATGCTCAGAGGAGCTATCTAAATCCCCAGTTAAAGATATCACAGGATTGTGTACTGCTGTTCTACAAATTTATCTGCTCTTGAACAATTCCCAGTTTGAATTCTATTTTCTTTAACTGACCCTCTGAGAAAGGGTCACAAGCACTGTGTTGCTGGCTAATATGGAGCTTACACAGCCCATAAAGGAACAGTTAATGATATTTCTGTTACATATGGAAGCAAGAAATGAATTCATGCACATATTAAGTGATTTTCATAGACTAGGATAAACATCAAATTCTTTCAACTGAGACCTAAAACCACCAAGGAACTGGCCATTCATGGCAAGAGAAGCACGATACGAGGTGTTAACTCCAACGTCCTGGACAAATTCCAGCCTAATTGCAGTCAGCCTTCTAACTTTTCTTTGCAATTGCACATTGATAGAATATTTCTGCCTACTCCTTGTACTGCCCTAGCACAATATTGCTGGTAAGTGTTCCTCCACAGTTTCAGAGTTCTGTATGTTGCCATGTCTGTGGTCATAAACCTTCTGCTTAAGAACCTCTAGCTTGAATAACTAATATAAATATTTTTTTAAAGTATATAGTAAAAAAAAAGAAAAAAGAAAAAAAAGGAGCCTGCTTGTTGCTCAGAGTAAGATTAGCTTCCCCAGAAATGGATGGGTTTCCAGTATAGGCGAGAACCCAGGAGAAGATGTTTTTGTGTCCCCTTTAAAGACTGAGTAATCCTAAAGCCATTTTCTTCATTTTACTAGGTGTTTTAAGTTGCTTGTTTTGCTAGCACATTCTGAAGGTGATAAGATGTTCTGATCCCCTTCTTGCAGTGTAAGTACTTACTTCTTGTGCAGCTTAATTTCTTCCTTAAATATTGACAAGTGCCACGTTTGCTCTCTAGGCAATGACAACAGTAGATTACTAATGCCTTTGGGCAGGCAATGGAAAATCATCTTCTGAAACCCAGCAATGAGCTTCTAAGTCTTTGTCAGCATCTGTTCACACCCTGTCAGCCTGAAGAGTTTAAAGTAAAACACACTCTACTCCTCAGCACTCCTACTAACTCTCTAAACCATCATAAAGTGAGACAGTTAACAAGTTTGGTTTTATTAGTAAAACAAAACTATTTTTTATATTTTGACACAGAGAAAATTAACTGATTATGAGTGAAAATCATCCGCAGGCTTTTATATAGTAAAAAATCAGAACCAGCTGCTTTGTGCAGAAGGTTAATTAATACTCCAGTGTTTCTTCTTAACAGAGGTGGGTTCAACCAGTGAAACTTTTTTTAAGAAAAAAAAAAACCACACAGCAAAACTTTAATCACCAGTTTCTGTATAAAAGAAACTATGTAGAAATAACATGGAGAAAATTGTAGGCATAGGAATATTTATCTATTCATCAGAATTACATGAAAGCCTTGCAGATTGTTTAAGATCTTCAATATTTCCAACTATATCCACTGCAGTTACTCATTTTTAAGAGCACTAAACTCACTAAATTCAACAGAAGTGTGTGTGTGTGCACGCGTGCACGCACAAAAAATAAATATATAAAGAAGCAAGCAATTTAGTGTGTGCAACAGCAAAAGTTAAAAGTTCGCGTTTCATTGCCACGACATAAAATGAAGTGCTAGTTATTTTGCCAGTTGTCATTAAATATATTAGCTTCATCTGTGCAAGTTACCAACACAACACATGCACACACAAACACCCATATACAGAATCATTCCCAAGTTTCATAGCACTTTTATATGAAAAAAACCCCAAAACAAACCCACAATTTGTTTTATGAGTGAATCAAATGAATTTACTTACCACAGCTGGGGGATCATTCCATTCTTCATAAGAAATGGCAGCATATGGGTAAATTCTATCATTGATAATCTGAAGAGTAGCAAGAGCAATTGCTTTCATCGATCGAAAATATGCTTCCCAGAACCACCTTGCCTGTAAAGAGAATAAAGTTCACTTTCACACTGCACAGATCCAGTGCTTAATAACCAATTTTGGCTTGCCATGCACAATCTGTTCGATGCAGTCTATAAGGCAGGTGGAAATTAAATTAGGAGGCATGTTTATTATAGCTAGGATATTTCCATAGAGCCTGAAGGCTTCAAACTCAATTCCACCCTCCAAAAAAACAGGATTTACAGCCAATAAAAAGAAGCAGCAGCATTAGTTTGCTAGTGATTAAAAAGAATGAGAATACTTGAAGGAATCAGTTACTTTCATACTTCTATCATGTTTTCCCCTTGAAAAATGTCAAAAGCTGTTTGACCATAGAACAAAATTGCTATTATACTCAGTTTTTCCAAGGCAGAGGAATCCACAGTGCAGCTAAACAGCCAAATAAAAGCATGTAGCCTAAAAAGTGGAACTTAAAAGTCACTTTTTAATGTCAGTATTAGAGACAGTTGATCAGCTAGAGAACTTCAGTACTCATGAAACCCACCAAACTAATACCTTCCCAAGTCTTCCAAAACATAAATTTTATTTATGCAAGTAATACTAAGATTTTTACACAGTAAGTACATGCATATGCCAATTGGTTGCAATCGTTAATCTAGGCTAATTTACAACACAGGCAGTGTAAAACTGCTGAAATGAAGCATGTGATTTTCTTATATACAGATGCACTGAATTTCACAGATGAGTCGTTTTCAAGCTAAGGTCCTGTTATGGCAAGTTTTAATCTTGTCCCAGTTTCTATGCAAGACAGAAATGCTGGAAGAAAAGCAGGGTTTTGGAAATGAAAACATCGATTTATCTCATTCTCTGTTAGAGAGATAAACAGACTTTTTAAATGCCTAGAACCATTAAATGATGCTGTAGGACTCCATCCAACCCAGAAGGAAACACACTTTGCCAATAAACGTACTTCAAGTGTTTTGGCCCAAGAGAAGTGAATTTTTGCAACCTAATTTTTCTTCAGGAAGCTCCAGCACCTTGAAGTGTCCAGAAGGTAATTTAATCTTCAGTCTCCCTATGGTTCAGTATCAACTATAACTGTATGTATTTGCATCGAGGTTGTAGAACAATTAAAACAAAAGACTTTTTTTTGGTAATTGAAAGCTTAAGAAGCTTTCAGAGCCAAAATACAACACACAAATTTGGTCAAGTGCTATTTCACTCTTGCTATAGAGTCCTTAAACAGCAAAAAGGCTCTACAGACAGGCTGGGTTTAGTCATGTGCTATGAGAATATTAAGTAGCATTATCTAGAATATAAAGCTACTGAAGGAATACCAAGCTTTTGGAGGTATAGACTTTAAGATGAACCAAAAATAACTCTCCTTTAGCTGTTGCTAACAAGTTGCCAGTGTGTCTCACTCTGCAGCTCATTACTTTTTAACAGCAGAGAGAGTGATTCCTATGTGTACATTTCATACTGGAGCATTCCTAGGCTAAATAACACTGTACAGGAAAGACTACAAGTAGGGAAAATGCAAATTCCCAAGCAAACTTGCACATATTCGTGTATATTCTACCTATACTTTACTCTGAGTGTAAGCTATGGGATTCACAACTAAAGACCTGTTGCTACTCTGTGGGTAGCTGTAAAACAGGTTCTTCAGAATAGTTCTGTTAAATATTTAAGATTAAAAAAAAAATTGTTGTTACATTTAAAAAAGCAAACTAGGAAAGAGACAAGTGTTCTCTGGAACACTACTTTCATTGTGAGAAAACATTAACAACCATAAATAAGCCTTACTACTTCAGAGTATTTATTAAGGAGACTGATGAGTATATAAAAAAATTCCACTTTGCTGGAGCTTGTCATCCAGAGAGAGTGCAAGCAGTTTCACTCTAGAATGGAATCACTTCCCTCTCCTTATCTTTCTCCCTGCTAGGACTTAACAGCTGGATAACAGGCCAATTACCAAGAACACAGAATAAAATGAATATTACATCCAACTGTAAAAGCAGAAGAATTATATAAACAGGTATGAAAAGATAATGTCTGCCTTCCTAAAATACCAAAAAGACACTAAATAAAGCAAACATCACATGCTAAGCAAAGACTTAAATATTTCTTTC